GGCTTTGCGTTGGAGGGACAGTCGATATTGGCCTGAGGTTTAAGTTCTGCTTCCTCGTGACTTAAAAAACAGGTTTTGGGACCTATTTTTTGTTTCCTTTCTTTCTTCCTTTGTTATAGCTCGGTATTAAAAACCCATTATGTTTGTTTAGCAGTTCCCAAAAGCGAAGGGAGGTGATTTGTGTTATATTTTATATTTGTGCTCACAAGAAGACGTTGTCACTGCTCCACCTTCTCTGTGTCCGTGGTAAAAGCAACAGAAACGCTGCCAAACTCGTCCATATTCTTTAAAAACTCCCCCTTTTGTGCATTTTAAAGATCGTGGAAAGCTCAGTTCCACTCCAGATTCCCGTCCCACTATTAACAATTAAATCCTCGCACGTCATCCACGTGTGAAGGGCCGAGTTTAAAGAGGAGTTGAAAGTTTTAGGTAAGTTTTTCTCCCCAACCAAACCTGGTGGAGCCGAGTTCTTTTTTTAATATATTTTTTTTGGCCTTTTACTCGCCAAAGCAGCAGCAGAGCCAGCACTGAGGATCCCCAGGTGGGCAGGGCAGGGCTGGAGGGGGTTTTTCCTCCTGTCCCCCCCGGGGGGTTTATCCCGGGACAAATCGAGTCACTTCTGGTGTCTGAAAGTGCTCGGTGACATCCTGGGTGGTGCCACAGGATGTGCTCAGGGCAGCGTGTTCGGAAGGGCTGTTTGTTTGTCTTTTTTTTAGCTTCACTTTTGGGTGGAACAGGTCAGAATTATTTGGTGCCGGTAGTAAAATCTTGACTGTACGTGGATTGATGTTAAAATTTTTAATTGAACCTCAGGTTTTAAAGCTTTTAATGCCTTGTGATCGCTCCAGAGCCCGCCAGGAGAGAACATGTGGCCAGAAAAAGGAGAAAAACCACCCCAAAATAAGCCTCATCAGCTAAAAGACCAGACAAGAGGATTAATAATTGGTCTTTTTTTTTTTTTTCTTTTTTATGTCTAAACACGTTTGAAAAACCTTTGAAGTGAAAAGGGAAAAAAAAAAGAGAGAGAGCACATTGAGGTGCTGGTTTGTCTGGCAGAAAGGAAGGGATTTTATGGTTGGTTTTTACCTTTTTAATCCGCGTATTTTATATTTCTGCCAACTCTGGTCCTCCCCTTGACTTCAGAAATGTGGGTTTTTGGGGGTGGGAGTGGAGGGGGGATGGACCTGCAGCAACCAGGCCTCTCAGAGGTGGAATAAGAATCTTCCCTCCTGAGCTGGAGTCAAACAAACCCCCTGGATCTGCTCAGACCTGCCCTCTCAGAGGCCTCCGGGGTGATAAGATCAGAAACGAGGTGGTTTGTTGTGTTGGTTTGGGTTTTTTTTTATTTTCTTTTTTTTTTTTAAGGTTCTAGGGGAAATTTTGCTGCCTTCAGAATTTCTGAATTTTGAAGCTTGTTGTGCTTTTTGGCAGGGGGGCTTATTAAATTATAGCAGCTTCCCAACTGATCATGGTTTTGCTTCATTAAATATTATTCCTGTGATTATAATTAAAGCTAATTAAGTAAATATATGAAGCTGCTGAAGGTGGAAACTTCTACTCCACTGTTTCATGTCCTGGCATTTAAAAACAGTAGCTGAGCAGCGCAGGGCCCCTGATTTTATTTCTTTATTTATTTTAGGGAAACGTGATGGATTAGTCAATAAAAATTTAGTTTCACCAAGTATATTTAATTTATAGTTTAAGGGCCTGTTAAAATTGATTAGTGCCCAATCGACAGAAGATGAAGAGCAGGCATTCTCTGCTGGTTTTTCTTCAGGAAACTGGGTTCCCATTGCTCACCTGCAGTTAAATATAAGAATATTTGAAGGTAAATGTAAAGGGTGCCCCATCCCTGGAAGGGTCCGTGGCCAGGTTGGAGCCGCCTGTTCCCATGGAAAGTGTCCCTGCCCTTGGCAGGGGGTGGCACCTGTTGATCTCTGAGGTTTTTTCCAACCCAACCCCATCTCTAATTCCCTGAAATTCTCCTTCCTGCCTCGTTTTTGGCCCCTGGGCCAAGGGCTGTCCCAGCAGTGCCCCCGGTGTGGATGTGGCAGCCGAGGCTGGGGCGGCCCTGAGGGGTTTCCTTTGGTCTAGACTAGGGAGGCTGGGTTTAATTTCCAGCCCTAACAAAGCCTTTTTTGTCTCAGCAAAAATGACTTCTTGTTGCTCAGGTCCCATCTGGAAGCTCAGGCCAGGGTGGGGTGTGTGTGTGGGGGGGGGAAGAAGAGTTCTCACCAACAGCCACTTCCTCCTTTTGAAAGGGAAAGCAAATCAGCCTTCAGAGGGGTTCTCAGAGCCCACAGCAAATACTTCAGGCCTCCAAAGCCCAGAACCCACCAACCATCACCTGGGTTATCCATCCAAGTCCAAAAATGGGTGCATTCCTAAGCAGAATCCAGGGAGATTTACAGTTCTGGGGGCTGGGGCTGAAGGTTTGGCTGCAGAAGTCCCTTTGCAGCCAAACAGCCCCTGAAGTGCAGTCAGTTCTCCTGCAAGGCGCCACTTGGAAGTGGGAACTGGGGCAGGTGGCTCCAGGTGTGGCTCCAGGTGTGCTCCCCTGGGCTGGCTGGGCTGGGAATGTTCCCTTCCCGCTGCTCTGGGGGCTCCCACGGGACAATCCTGCGAGGCTTTGGGTTGGGAGGGACCTCAGAGCCCGTCCAGTTCCACCTCCTGCTATCCCAACCTGCTCCAAGCTGCCCCAGGACACATCCCTCGGACTTTGCTGTCCCCCAGCCACTCTTCCAGAGGCCAGGAAAGGATCAGGGAAGTGCCAGGATCTCTGTGGCACCTCAGAGCTGCCTTTGGAGCTGCTGAACTCGCTGGGCCAGAAGTTGCAGCCAACAACTTGGAAAATAGAGAAGTTTCCCCCCCCCTCCCCTCCCTCCCTCAGACACAAAACAGTTGCTGGTGCCAGGTTTTTAATCCTGTGCACACAAAGTGACATCACAGGAGGGTTGGGAACAATCACTTCCTCCCTGGGAGCCTGCCAAGGCCTCTGGTGCTGCTGGATCTTCCCAGGACAGGTGACATCAGTGACACCAGTGACATCATCCCTGCCCAGCTGAGGGCAGGAGCTCCCCGGGGTGGTGGGGGGGTCACCAGCACAGTCACCTCGTGCACAGCTGCAGAGAACTTGCAGTTATTTCTTCATTTTCTGCCTTAAATAACAAAAAAAAAAAAAAAAAGGGAGGAAACCTCAATTTTTTTTAGGGTTGTATTCCGGTTCAGGAACCCCAGGTTTGTAGGAGCACCCAAGAAATGCATTGGATGTACTAAAGTGACAAATGGAGTTTTGTCAGCTGATGTGCACTGATAGTGTGTTGTGGCTCTTTGGAACAGAGAGATGCACCTGCTTTGGGGGAAGGGAAAAAAAGCTAGAATAGAGAAATGCAGCTGTTTTAGGGCAGAAAAAGCCTGGGAGTTGTGCTGCTGAGAAACTCAGGTGGACTTGAAGCTTTGGAATTCCACCTGTTCCACACTCCCCTGTTCTGGGAAGTGGCTCTATCCATTTCAGGTGGATTTATCAGTTGGAGATGCTGTTGCACCAGGTAAATTGCATTAAATCTCAGTGCAACCCAGTTGTTAAAACAGCGAGTGATTTTTTTTTTTTATGCTGCCATTTGTAGATAAATCTTGTCTAACCAAATGTGCTTCTGAAACACTGGGAGGGGGGAATTTATCTCATTCCATGTTAATGCTGTGCAGTCACTGCTGTCACTGTGGTGATCCTTTCCCACCTTTCTCCACTCAGAATTAGCATGGATCATGACACACTTATCCTTCCTCAGGTTTTTGGGGGGATCTTGGCTGAAGAAATCAAAGAATAAAGAGCCTGGGCCCAGTTTTTTTGGGGGTGTGGAAGGTGCTGAAGCCCTTCCTCGCTGTAGGTGTGGAATGAAACCAGGACACCTGGGAGGCCCAGTGACATCCACACCCCTTTTGCTCCTTCCTGCTGGGAAATGTGCCCAAAAAAAAAGGAGTTATTTTTGACCAGGAGAAAAGCTGGGGGGGGGGGGAGGTTGGAGTGTGCAGAAAGTTGCTGACACAGCACCAAATGGTGCAGAATTCCCTGCTTCTGGCATTGGTGTGTCAACAGGAATAGGTGTGGGGAAAGTTCTGTACAGCAAAGATTCTGAAATAAAAAAAAAAAACCAACCCAACCCCAGTGTTTGATCCTGCTGGAATTGTTTGAGTGGAATTCTGTTATGTAAGGCTGTTGGAAAAATGGAACTGCAGCAAAGCAATCTCCTTTTGTCAACTTCTTTTTTTTTTTTTTTTTTTTTCCCCCCCAACTTATCAGTTGGAGTTTAAATAATTGGGTGAAGCAGGAGCTAATGGGGCAGGTATTGATTATGAGTTATGTAAGGCTGTGGAAAAATGGAAGTGCAGCAAAGCAACCTCCTTTGGTCAACTTTTTTTCCCCCCCTTCCCACTTATCAGTTGGAGTTTAAATATTCC